TGGCGCAATGCATGATGTATTCCCTCAGTCTTGTAGGCGCTATGCGTTTCACGTCGACCGCTGCTGATCGCACTGTTGTGATCGACGCAATGCGTGAAGTATTCATGCAGCCTTGTATGCGCTATGCGTTTCACGCCGACAGCTGATGACCGCGCTGTGTTTAACGCAATGCGTGAAGTATTCATGCAGTTATGTAGGCGCTAATATGTGTTACATGCCGACCGCTGCGCCGAGGGCTTCTCCTTTTCATCTCAAGTCATTTGTCATCATTGCTCTCTGCGCTGCACCGTCCCAGGCCAAATTGCGTGTTTGACTTTCTCTCTCAACTCGACTAATTAAAGGTGCTGTCTCTTTTATCACCAAAAGACGACAAAATTATAAATTACTCTACTCTCTAGAAATGAAAGATTTTGTCGCCTTTCCTCGTTTGTATTTTTTTTCTGCATCCGATTTTTTTTTACACCTACATTTAAAAAAATTGTGAAATTTGCTACCCCCTAATTAATTTGTCGCCATGGGCCGCCGTGGCCCATGCGGCCACCCCCTAAATCCGGTACTGGGTACTGCACCTTTAAACAAAACTTTATTCGTCAGTGCTCTACCTTCGAATAAAATGGCCAGATCCTGGCCACCACCATGTAGGGCTTAGATTTCTCTTCTTTTTTTTAAAAAAAATTGTTATTGTTTCCAATTGAAAATGACTCAGTTTTGAGTCGAAACGGCTCGGGTTTTATTAATTGTGTGTTTTTAGCCTTGTTTTCCGTTTTCCGTTTTCCTCCTTGTTTTTTCCACTGTATTACTAGACCTAAGCCGTTCACATTGCCTATTTTAGTATTGAAGGCGAATTTGTCAGAATGAGCGCTCAACGAGACACTGTTGATAGCAGTCAATTAAAACAATTTTTCAAGCGAATTGTGTGTTTATATTGGTGATTACATTTTTGCGCGTCTAAGATTACAGTGTCTACTTAATTCCTCCAAATCATACAATAAGGTCATTATAGATGGAGCTTGTTTATTGACTTGAAGAAACAGTTTATCACTGATACTACAATTCCTGGGCATGAGAATAAGAATGACGTTTTACCAGTAAAATTTTTTTCGCCTCATTTTTCAGGTACCTACTGCAAAAGTCACTTGGTAAAGTCAACTTAACGGTAGAAAGTTTTCCGGTTAGTGTTAAAAAATTCATTCGATTAAGACATATACCTTGGCGGTAGAAATTTTTCTTTTTAGGGATATGGCACCAACGAATGACGTTTCATTGGAAGCCACGGTGCCAACGTACAACGTTATCCTTTTTTAAAAGAAGAAAAGAAAGAGAAACAAACAATCGCACACACAAACTTTGGAGTACCTATTCCACAATTTAATTTGTACGTGGTTTTCGTTGATCTCAAACACAAGTTTCATGCATGCATGTATTCTCCGGGCATGATAGAATTAATCTTGCGAGGCTACGCTGCTACAGCTCCCGTAGGACACGTTTGGTTGTAACTCCACCCCAATATTGCAAAATTGACACAAACAGCTCAATTTTTTACTGGCACACAACCCCGCAATTTCTGTCCAAAATTTTGCTCAGATTTGCGCATGATCAGAGGAAAATTCATAAAAATTTTCAGTTAGAAAAGCCCAAAAGTTTCCATGCAAAGAGGAAACGTACGCACGTCCATTTATCTTGGAAACGAAGATTTCAGAAATTTCAGAACTGTATCATCTTTTGAACGCTTTATGTTGGCAACATGGCGTACCTTTTACTCGCGGCGTAATCGCGCGAATCAGCGAGCAGCAACTATCCATTAAAGCGTTTTATGACGCCGCATAACGGGACATTTTGCGAGTAGATAAGAGGAGGATGGAAAAAGGATAAAGTCATAACGATGCCTCCTGCAAAAGAGGGGAGACACAAGTTTGATGCGGTATCGTCATTCGAGATTACGGGGAGAGAAGATATGTGTCACCAAATGAAGAAATCTACTCAAACTCTCAGCTTTTCAAATTCTTTGAAAACGCACAACCTATGGAAAGTATATTATATCACGTCACTCTCTGATCCTTCTGGACTTTATCCGCACGATCGCAGTTCGCGGAACTTTTGAGCGAATTCGTTCAACTAATTGGGGTTTTGCGGAATAAGGTCCCCTAAGAAATTACGTCGCGGCATGATGTTAACGTATCCCCCCTCCCCCGCCCGCAGTCCGCGTAAAAAACAACATTTTTTAGTCCTGCGGATAAAAATTCTCTGTTGGATTAAAAGAAACTCCAATTATAAATTTTCAGACGAGAAATCTCCTCGTGTCATACTGTATTTTTGTCATTTTGACGTATTTATGCTAGGAAGAACTATGTTGCACGCGAACCGTATGCACATAGTTCCTTTTACCATACACACATTCATTTCAAAGAGACGTCTCGTCATTCTAGAGATATTTTCGGTTGACTCAACGAATATTCTCGACTGGAGAATTATCAACTGGAAAATTTTTCTAACAATAAGTGTACATTTTTAATAAATCCATTGAAAATATTCAAATTTAGTGTGACTTCAAGTTCCTCTCTCGCCATGAAGGTGGACCAAACCTCTCCTTCCTCGTAGTGCGAGATATAATTATTTATGATCGGTCTCGAAGATCCGCCACTGGTATACCTCGATTGAGGTGCAAAAATTCCAGCATGGCTGTGAATGAAAGTGTTTTCATAGCGGCGAGATTCCCAGACGATTCGAGTGGAACTATTAAAAACTTGGTTTTATCACTGCATTCATCGAGCGTTTGGTTGAATCCGGCATTCTCTGACAAATCGACGGTGAAACTAAAAAATCACGGATATCTGTTTTGGTGTTTGAAAACGTCCTCTCATGTTCATCATGCTCGTCCGCGCATTTTGGCGCCAATTTTCAGAGAGTATTTTTCAAAGAACAAGAAAATCATACAAAATTTTGGGCCAAAACGAATATCAGGACCTCTCCAGAAGAGTAAAATGTGACAAGATATTTGAAACGTCACAACCCAAATAGGTGGATTGGTGCTTTCACTATCGATATTGTAATTTGCATCTATTGCAATTTTTACTGATCTCCTTTTTGTACATGTTATTTTTCTTATTCAATAAAACAGACACTCAAAAAAAAAAAAAAATTATCGATATTGAGTGAACATAAGTCTTGGATCCCTTCTTTAAACTCGTGATTTTCATGAGGTTTTACAAATTAATGAAAGTTCATTTATGAATAACTTCGTCCAGAATTATGATCGTCTCCAACTAAGCATTTTTAATATTACATCTGCTCTCCACGACGAACAGAATTTACCAACTTTCCCTAAACAGACGTAAAGTTTATTTCCGTAAAATAAATACGACCGGTGAAATTGAAATTGCCATTCGCAGAGAGATGCATTGCTTTTGGGTCACTGAATTTTCTCTGACACGATTGAACCTCAGCTGCTGAGAAGTGGTTAGCTACATTCAACTTGATTGCTTAAGTAACAAAAAGTATTTGCTCATTCAATCTTGGATGCTGTTTGGTGCAACGTTTTATTCACTCCAACATTCACCACGCGGTCCTGTGGTTCAACTATGCGGCTCACCTTCACCTTTTGTGCATTTCACTCGCAAAATATGGGCATCGGCTACTTCGCGCAGTGAACCGAGAACAATGGCGGATCCAGCAAATTGGCAACATTGTCTTTTCTCCATTTAAACCAATGGCAATGTATCGATCCTTGGAGGGACCGCAGATGCCCTGACAAGAAGCGATTATTTAGCATAGGTTTAAATAGAGAAAATCCTGTGTTGCCAAATTGCTGGATCCGCCTCTGACCGAGAACTAGGTCCACTTCCTCTAAACTTCATTTTTACACTTACTACTCAGTTAAAAATATCCAAATTTCAGGTTACTTTGGGATACTTCGAGTTATTTTTTTCCGGTCAGATCAACGGCTTTCCGCTAGCGCATTGTGATCCAGGATCGATCCTGGTGGCTCGCATCAGATTTTTTGAGATTGCAAATTTCCAACCCACAAGGGTTTGGACATTGTGCCCTTAAAAAAAACTAACCAAAACATATTGACCGCACCGCGCATATTGCACGTTTAAAGTACTCGGTGTTCCACTCCCCATATTAACACAAAAAAATGGACCACTCTTTCTCACTAAATGCTCCCTTCAGTGACACGGGCAGGGTGGCATGAAACGTAAGAAAGAAATGAAAGATTGGAAAATTCAGTGCAATATTTCATGAAATTTCACGGGGCTGTGAAATATTTCATATTTTTCAGCGACTGGAGTAGGTATGCGACCCGCACTCAAACACTCCAAAATGGAAGAAAGTCACAAAGTTTACATTTTGCAAAACATGAAAAGGAACCGGTATCTTGTTATAGCTTTCATAATTTTCAGAAATTTCTTGAAATATTTCAAGAGAAATTTCATGATTTCGTTTTTCATGAAACTTTGCCGCCTTGAACAGGTATGCCTAGAGTATGTAACCCGCACTCAAACACACAAAAATAGAAGAAAGTCACAAAGCACTGGAAAAAAACACATTGGATCTAGAGTCCAGACTCTTGAAAACATTGACAAGAAAAAATACTCTTGATTCAATCGGATTTTTTCTTGAATAAAAACGAAATCCGCTTAAATTAAGAGGCTTGGTTCTTGATTTAAACTAGATTCTGATTGAATCATGAGTACTTTTTCTTGTCGATGTTTTTAAGAGTCATGACTCTAGATCCAATGTGTTTTTTTCCCAGCGAGTTCGCATTTTGTGAAACATGAAAATGAACTGATATCTCCATAGCTTTCATAAATTTCTGAAATTTCTTGAAATATTTCACGTGCAATTTCAAGATTTCATTTTTCACGAAACGTTGCCACCCTGAACACGGCAAGACGCACACCCAGCAAAACGAGGATGCTGAAAATTGACGAGGTCAGGGCGAAGGGACCCGGAGCCCGGGAGGAGAGCGAGGCCGAGACGAGAGCATGACTGGGACTCACCAAACGTGCTCTCCGGTCGTTGAGGTAGGTTGCAGGATCCAGGCGATGCTGATAACAGCGGGCACAACACAAGCACAGGCACAGGGCACACACAACACGCGCGGATCGCGAGCGATCGTCCGCAGATGATCGGCATGGGCGCAGGCTCCGGTGAGAGCACAGACGAACGGAGCACAAGCACGGCCCCGCGAACACTGACTCCGCCGAGGACCCCAACCCAGACTGGGTTCATCTCTGAACCCCCACTTCCTCCCCCGCCACAGCTCGACCGGGTCCGCGGGCCCGGGGGCTTATCCCCGGCCAGTCTGGTAAACCATAACCCCGGCTCATGGTGGGATACTCCTGCCGGCGTCCCGAGGATAGGACCTTGTATTGGATGCTCAAATACAAACAAAAGGGGGCTACTCCGATGGGGCTAAAATTTGGACCGTGTTTAACAGAGAGGAACCAAGCCACATCAGCTATCGCCACTTTTAATTGGGCAATTTAATTTTTTACGAGAAAACGTTAGTGCGGATCCTTGGGAAAATGTTAAGGAATTTGCTTCGTACTGTGGAGAAAATTCACTGAAATTTGCACGAAAATCCGCACAACTGTTTTCATGTAAAAAATTAAATTGCCCAATTAAATTTGGCAATAGCTGATGTGGCTTGGATCCTCTCTGTTTAACGCGGTCCATTTTAGCCTCTGATAAACGTTATTTTCCGCGTCTTCTTGAAGTGTTCAACATTTTGAAGAGCAGAGACACACTTAGTAATTACCGCGCCGATGCTGATGGTCTCTGTGCCTCTTATCACCAGTTTTTCCGCGTCCAGAGGGAGCTGGTGATTAAATTTCCAACCTTAATAATCTTCGTTTCCACGAGCTTTGATTTTGCTACACTGGGCCAAGTCTGTTTATATTGTAATCTCGGTCTCGCGATAACAGAGAATCGACGACTCATTTTTATTTAATTGTTTGGTTTCCGGTTGATAATGAAATTGTGACTATTTTGACACGTTCCAGGTTTCTCTTCTGATTTGCTCTCCTTTTGCAGCCTTTCCCCAAATTAAGTTGTTATTTTACGAACCAAAGTCTAACTTGACCCAAGAAGGTAGATCGCATTTAGCAAAAAGGAACCAGCGCGATTACAGTGTTTTCAAAACTGTACAATTTCCTCAATTTCTTTTAAAAATATTCAATATGTGAAGAGTATTAATATTTACACACTTGTTTTCCTTTTTCCTTTTCTCCTTAATTTCCTACGACGGATGGACCGTCAGATGCCCTGGTACTTAGGAGATGGTTTGAAAAATTTGCTTGATTTTCTCTTTCGGATTTGAGCTGAATCTTTCAATCTCAAGAACGTTGTTTTGTCTAACAATTGCTCACGTAGCATTATTGCTGCGTTTGTCTCCGCGTTATTTGAGTGTGAAAACTGAACTGTGAAGTAAGTAAACCACGATATCTATTTATTCGCAACTGCGCTGCGGAGAAAATACGACACCGCACATCTCTTGAGCGCACGATTGTATCTCCACAGGTGTAGGTATTTGAGTGCAAATATGCCGCGTCAATTAAATTTTTGCCGAATTCCTGACCGATTTAGAGGCCTAAAGTCAGCTTTTTTACTGGAAGGAGGCAAAACCTTTTTCGTTTGCTTTTGTAATGAGGAGAGGTTAAGAAACAGGCGGGAATGCACAGTAAGAATCATCATTATAAAGTATCAATAGAAAAAGAGGGAATGAGAAGTGACAAACAATTGGAAGAATTGCAAATAACAAAAATTAGAAGCAGGGCTGAGCATATAGCTGGTTGAAGCGTCAGTTTAATGTGGACACTATTAAAAGCCTTAGGATCGTAGAGAGCGCCTTCAAGGCATTAGGCAGGCCAGAAATCACCGCGAGGCACCGATTTTGTTCAAGTACACGTTCATATATCGCTGCATTAACGAACCATATTGTTAATTCATTGGTAAGGATCGTTCATCTCAAGTTCGCCTTCAATCTTCCTACATAGGCAACAAACATACAGCAGAGCACGAATAGTTATCTCCTCAAAACACAATAATCGGATTACATTTAGCAATAAGGAACCACTATCTCTGTCTCTCCCATAAAAGTACATATCGGCAAGGGAAATCGATGGCATGTCTGTTGTTTCTAAAATGGTCCAGAAATAGTGGTTCCTTATTGCAAAATGTAATCCAATTAATCTCGTTCCATAAACTTAAATAAATTTAAATACCATGCTTAAACCTATTGACAGATATTCGCCTTTAGAAATCAATATAATCGGAATTTTTATAATCATTATAAAATACAGAAATTATAATATACATATTTCATAATAAATGATCATAATTTATCTTATTATTATTTTTAATCAAAAATAATAATTTTCCAAACATCTTTCTTCGGTTTTAATCTTACTTCCAACACATACCAGAAAAAGAACAATTTATTCTACTATACTTATGTGTTCGACAAAACTAAGGAAAATCATTTTCTTCCTGAATTGAACTTTCAAAAAGAGAAAATGTCCTTATATTTCTGTTGCATTTCATAACTTTGGCGATCGATCCGACAATGCCGTTGAGAAGGTCATTGGCGATGTGGACGAGGGAACGGAAAAGGAGCACGGTGCAGGCAGGCCAGGACCCGAGCCAACTTTTCCCAGCCCTCGCTGTCGCGCTAGCCTCCTAAAAATTCGGTCTCGAACCGGCGTCATGCGCCCCTTGCACGAGCTGGCAGTGCGTGAGCCTAAGTCGAAGGTAAAACGTATTAATTCGTGGTCGGCTGTAAAAGGTGGGGCTGCGGCAAGCAGCTCGCACCGCGCCGCCGCAGTATGCACGGAGGAAAAGGCTCAGCGACGATGCTGCCAATTTCAGATCGAAACACTATAGGATCAGTATTTAAAAGAGGACTTTTTATGAGAATCGGCAACCCTGAAACCGGTTGCATGTTCGCTCGCTCTCTCGGTGCACTCACTGCACTAGGATGCAGCAGTGCCGTAGTGGGAGACTGCGAAAGGAGTCGTTGGAGAAGGATCATTGCAGCGAAATTAAACTGAAGGGTATTCAAACTGCATTCAGTAATACTGCTAGTGAGTGGGCATACACGATTTTGGTCTACATGCGTCAGTAGGAATTTATGTATAAAGTTGTGAATTCTCCCATTTGAACAATGTAATTTTTTATTTTTTGTCATAATTAGTTTGAGCGTTCTACTGGGCCGATTTCCATGAATTTTGCGGTTATTGACAGGCGATAGTCCCAATATGAGCCCGCTTTAATCAGATTTTGAAAATAGGACCCAGATTTTTTTTACATTAGAGAAGACCAGAGAGCTTATTTTTTTTTAAAATTTTGATTTCCCCTCCGATGAAAAATGTCGGGAATTTCAAAATTAGCGGAGAGTTGAAGTGAGCGGGAGATGTTGAATCTAGATCTGTTAATAGGGTAAGTGAATCGAAAGTACACTGAAAAAAATGGTATGCTGTTTTAGCACCTAGGATGTCAAAAATGTGTCTGGTAATCTTATGATGCTGCCTTAACTGCCCACGCAGTTAAATTAGCATTCCTAGGATGTAAAGTTAACTGCGAGAGCAGTAAATGCAGCATATTGGGATCGCCAGACACATTTTTGACATTCTAGGTGCTAAAATAGCATATTATTTTTTTCGGTGTATGCTTCTTTGCCACAGACTATCCAAAAGCGACGATACGCTATATTCCGTTTCGTGTAGGTCTTGGCGTAAAGTTTGAAATAAATGACGATTTTTTTTCATGCGATTCTTATTGGTCCAATCGCTCCCGGTCATAGGGAGATTGGACAAATGAGAGTCAGATATGAAAATCTTTTCATTTTTTTTTTTGGTCGTTCTTTTGTCGAAGCGGGCCTAAGAGAGCGCGAAACGCCCTCTGGGGGTTGGGCCTCGTAGCGGCCAGGGGACATAGCCCCCTAGTTCCAGCTATCGTGAAACCACCCATAGTCAAGTTCACGTGGTTTAACTATAGCGTTAGCAAATTAATCTCCAACTAACTACGGCGCAGCGTCTTGCTCTCACGAGAGCCAGTTTGCCTTCAATATCTGAGTAGGCAATGTGATCGACTTAGAACCAGTGATAGTTCCTTGCAGCAATTTGGTCACACTCACAAGGTTTAATGAATCGCTAGACAAGGTGCAAATTTAAGCATTTTGATGATTCTTAAAAAAGATATCTCACATTTTTTGATGCGTAAATTCGACTTCTCTCTCCAGAAAAATCTAAGTCTACGTGAATCAAATCGCACACTGAACGTCACCGTAATAGTTTCTGCAGTATGTAAGTATGGCAAGACCATTGTAGTGTTGGATTTGATTCAACTAGACCATCGTTTTTCTCGTAAGTGGCAGAGTTTTTAAAGAATTTTTTAACCAAATTCCACCTTTAGGATCAGTGTGTTTTTCATTGGAACAAAGTGTCAAAATCGTATCCCTGGAGACTTTAACGATGGGTTAGGAAGAATGAACACACCTCACTAGATCTTATGGAATTGTCAAGCAACTTGTCAGAATGAATGAGAATTAAAACTTCTTAAGTCCTAAAAGTGGCTGCCTCTAAATACATTTCTACATGCCACCGTATGGTACCAAATGTTTTCTTTTTCTCGAAAAGATAAGGTTGTACCCATAAGATGCCGCTCATGTGACTTAATCACAAAACATTGCGGTCCCCCCTCCGTTTGTTTTGAAAATTTAAAATTGTTTGAATATTCACGCTAGTTATCTGAGGCTTTTATCTCCAGGATGGATTGAATAATTAGGCTACATTACTTAATGAGAATAATACTGTAAGCAATGTTGCCAAGTGATGTGACAGTATTATAGCCCAACATCATTACAGTTCATCATTAAAGTGAGAATGTCGTGGCAAGTTTTGACTGTAAGAATGCTGGGTTGAAATGGAGGTATCCACTAGCTTTTTCACCCCCTAAGTGTAAAATGGTTAAATGCGTGTGAAACGTGCGCTACCTCGGAATACCCGAGAGAGGAGGTGAGGCAGCCCGCAGCAACGCTGTAGTTCCAGCCAGCATCCACACCGACGCTCAACAATCAACAATCAACAAAGCGTGAACGGTGAGCCCCCGATTAGCTAAGCACGCCAGGAGTGAGATGATAACCAGATTAAATGAGGCACGGAAACCGGGATTAAGGTTAGA